TGCACCAGCGCACTTTGGACACGCCCCCCTGTTTTCAGCCCCGTATTCCTGCATGACGTTTTCCTAGTGTTTCCCCACTTCTTCGGATTGTGTCGTCCACATAGGGTCCGGAAAGAACTGTACTTTACAGAAACAAAGGAGAACAAGAACTTTCTTCCTCAAAATAGTAGATCTATTTGAAGAGATCTGCCTCCAGGACAGAGCCACTCCCTAAGGGAGCACAGCATGCTATGGGGTTTCATTAAAACCAGTTTGGACATGTCTCCAAATATTCAAATAAATTCTGTTGATATGGTCAACTGGTTGTCAAGCACTTCAAAAGTGAGCTCCAAATTATTCCAAATATTAAACAGATCACGAGTGGTTAATAACACAATCTCAGTAGGTGAGAGTAGGGCAAAAGGACAGTTATTGCTGTCTTGGCATAGGCGAGCTTCACCCTGATCTCTCTTTCTCCTTCGCTCTGCTCTGCTCCAGAAGCTGTCGCTCACATCTTCAAACGGCAACTCTCCACTGCTCATCAACACCAAGGAGTGCAACGGCAGTATCAACACCACCTGCACCACCCCCGAGGAGCCCGAGGAGCTGGACACTCGGGTATGGAATGGATGAAGAAGCAGAGTGGTGTTTGAAGTGGGTCAGGATACAGTAGACTTCATAATCAAATGATTTATTCTGCTATTTAGAGGGGAAAATCCTTGACATTGTTGCTGTTTGAACTATATTCAAATAGTTATAGAGAAATATGCACTGCCTTGTCTTTGCTTTTCAGTAAGTATGAAATGCACAGAGTGCTTTTGTGAAATGCTTAAACCTCCTCGCAGATGTTAAAAAGTAGAATAGTGGTACATTTCCATTAAAACTTGCCCAAAAATATGCTTGCTGTTGTGTTTGCTCATTACCTCTCCTACTGCATTGTTACTTACAGTACCTGTGACTTGCAGTAACAGTTTTTGTTGTGTTTTTGGTGGTACTATACACTGAGTGACTGATTGTTTGAACTTTAGTATCTGTGATGGTGGTGTCCTGGGAGCTGACTTGTTTGACAATGTGATGTCAGGTGGCACAATTGGGACAGACTGCTGTATTCATCTTCATTTGATAACCTTCATTTGAGTCAGGCATCTGAAGTCTCTCTGTGTAGGTGTTCTGAAGATTTTAGGTGGTCTGGCATATCAAGGTGTTGGAGTTGGGTTTTTTAAGCTTTGTGTGTAAGTGAAGAGAAATTTCTTTAAAAAAGACTACTTTCACCAGACTCCATCCAGACGCCTCATTTCCATCCAGTCACCTTATTTAGGTTGAGGCCTGTCAAACCATTTCAGGCTTAAAAAGAGCTTAAGTGGCAATTTCTCAAACTGGTCTTTTAAGCATGTTATACTCCAATTTGTATACTTCAAAATACAAATGGAGCAGCAGACATCTGGATGTCTAAATCTAACCCTTGCATACCTGTCATTAGCTTTTCACTAGAAACTGACCCCTCAGGCCATTTCATTTTCCAATTTTGCCTTTGTGACAGACTTCCTATTGGTGGGTAGATGCAGAGACTTGACCTGGGAGCTCTATTAATGACATAGTCCATAGCTCTCAAGAAACACCAGAGTCTATCAACAGGTGGCCTGCCCTTGTTCTCTGTGGCTAGAAGCCATGTTCTCATTGAATAACACTTGATAACAGACTATATTGGCTAAATTTGACCAAATGATCAAATACTTTGTCTTAATATGCATTGGTATAATTAATCTACTTCCAACACAATACTTTATTTGTTGGGTGTATAATAATACCATTCTTGAATGGTGAAGAAAAATTGAAAGAAGTTAACAAAATATTATCCCAGAGGTAGTATTGTTAGTGCATTGTATAGTATATATAGTATGCTGAATTACAGTATTTGTTTGTAATTTGTGTTCATAAATACTGTAAAAGTCTCACCTCTCCCCACTTCTTCATTCACATTTTAGACGGTAGCTTATGTTAGGTTGAACTAATGCAGTTAAACTCTGAGGTCAACGTCATGACAACTGTTTTCTTTCCCTACAGGTAGTGAATCCTTCATTCCCTAACCCCCGGCGGAGGCTGCGTCTGCGTGACCTGGCCGAGCGAGTGATAGATGCACAACAGAACGAGCAGGAGCTGAACAAGCTTCTGAATGAAGCCCTGCTGGAGAGAGAAACTGTGCAGGCGTAAGGCCAAGGGATGGGAGGGTGGTGTACTTGGCTTATTTCTTTATATACTGTATTTTATTATGGGAACAAGACTGGACAGCACAATACAAACTTAAACAGAAAGTATCCATCCATTTTCCAATCACTTTATTAATATAAAGAGTTGCAGAGGACAAACAGATCCCCTTCTGGCAAGCAACAAGCGCAGGGCAAGATACCCTGGACAGGACAGCAGTCCATCACAGACCACACACGACACACACACATATAATTTTCTCAGAAGCCACTTAACCTACTTGTACGTCTTTGGACTGTGGGAGGAATCTAGAGGTCCCAGAGGAAACCCATGTGAATACGGGGAGAACAAATATTACCAACGTAGATAGCTGATAGACTGAATTGTACCCAGGGCTTCAGCACTGTGAAACACATTGCTAAGCACTTTGCCACCATACCACCTGAACTTTACCTTCAATTAGTAAAAGTATCAAGCAAAACAGGAAGTGATTGAGAGGGAATCTGAAAAGAAAAAGTATCATCAGCATACAGTGAGATATTATACCGTGCATTTTCAGTATTGGCAGGGATATTTGCTGTGGATTGCTGCAGTACCTGTGCTAAATGGTCTAATGAGATGGTGAACAACAACACAGCAAAGGTGCAGCCCTGACAAGTACCTACAGTATGGATATTGCAAACTAAGACAGCATATTGTTACAAATGGGGGGTTACGGACATGGTGAAAATCCAGGAATTGACCGAGTGGTTTAGTCAATCAGTGAAATAATTATTCATAACCCCCAACTTGTACAGTACGTGATTTCTAACCATATACCCGAGCGGCTGGTATAACTAGAGGCATGTGAATTGTTGATTCTCTGGCACAGGTGTGTTGAGTAATAATCCAGGCACCTTGGTTAATACAAATATTAGACACGAAACATACAACACACAAAGTTACATTATATACAGTATTTACAGACAAGGCGTTTCAGAGGCCTAACATTCTGGTCACCCAGAAAACTCCAGACTGCTACTAAGCACTAAACTTGTATTATGCCTACAGAGAAGAGGTGAGCCAGACAAGAGATGAGATACCTTCTAACTAATTACAAAGCAACCTGTAGTTAAATCTTTCTCTCTGGACCCTGGATGCCATATACAGTAAATGGGAGCCTATATCCCAACCCATAAAATGCATCCTAATCAAGATGTTTCTAACTGAGGTATCTTTTACCCAGGAAACCCAAATTCCCAAAAAAGCAGCATAGCACACTTTAAAAAGGTTCAAAGGTTTGGATGATCAGGAAAGTAGGGACTCTTGCCTGGCACAAGCTTCATGTTCAACTCCTCTGGACTCCTCTCTCTTTTCCCTGCTCCCCTTGTTTCTTCCTTCTTCCTCTCTCCTTTCTCTTTCTTCTCTTTGTGCTCTTAATGTCATCTTATATTGTCTGTGTCTGTATTGCTTCTTGCCTATCATTAACCCACAACTTCCCTACGTATATTAAGGTAAACTTTACTATTGTTTCTGTTCAAAGGACCCCCCAGACCTCAGCAGACATCCTCTATCCTTTGAGGTTAGAAGTATTTACTCTTCCCAGTGTCACAAACTTTATCTAAAATCAAAGAGACACTTCTAAGTCACCTAAAGCTGTAATAATATGTTATTTGCAATCACCACAGATGAGGGGTTTGCATATAATATTTTAATAATTTTGATTAAATCTACACCTAGACTTATATGATGTAAAATCACTCCAGTCCCATTCCAGGATGTTATAAATAGAATGGATATTGTGGAAAAATGTGACAAACATCAGTAATCAAGTGACTCTCAACAAAGCCTAGAACTGTTGATTTGACTTATTCATGTAGTTCTTACGCATGTATAACAATACCTTTTAATACAGTTTAACATTAAATTTATTAAGCACAAGAGGCAATAGAAAGCATACAAAGAGGGGTCCTATTAATTTTTCATTAGCAATGACATTACAGAAGTATTAGCACTCCTATTAAAGGAGCATCTCTCCACAACTAACTTCTTGAGTATCAGGAGCCCCATCAATGCTAGAAGGCAAGTAGTAACTATGACACCCGAAGAAAGCTCCACAGCTGAAACGTTGTGTTTCTTTACTTTTCTTTTCATCATGGAATAAACCTTTACTTGTTCCTTTGCAGCCTATGCATGCTGATGTAGCTCCCAACATGAACTGTGGGGGGAATACCATCAAAACTAGGGGATTCGTCTGTGTTCATACTCTATAAACTTTCAATTGCAGTGAGTCAAAGACATTGGATCACCTAGATCAACTGTCCCACTTTGAGAGAGTGATAATTTTTTTAAATTAAAAATAATCAAATTTCATAACATTTTTCATTAATATATTACTTTTAACTAATGGTCACTGCAGACATTTTTTGGTATTTAACTTATCTCATGCATTGGAGTTTTCAAAACATGCAATCTTTGCAGTCTTTATATTGCTTTTTATTGTATATTAGTTTATTAGTGAGTCTGCCTTATCTCAATATCTTGTTTTATTCATCTGCTTTTTACTACTTGCTTAAACAAGTGCGGATTATTGCGGAAACTCAGTGTTTTGTCAGATTTCCTGCATGTTTTAAACTGCCATCAAATTTCACATTTGGCTTAGTAAAAACAATAGGATACAATTTTGCATTTGTAAAATGTACAGTGAGGATCTTTTCACAAATGAGTCAGTTGTGAACATCTGTTGAAACTGCTATGATGTATTATGATGCTTACTGGTGCAGCAGACTTGCTTTGTTGCTTACAAATGTGACAAGTAAAAAACTAGAGTGCCGGATTTATGGATACAGGTGTCATGGTTACCGGTGTTCCTTAGAACTCTGATCTCTAAGATGTCTGTAGAGAAATATGCCAAAAAATACACTTAGGTCACATAGGGATGAACAGGTTGAAAGCAGAGCAAAGGTACAGTACATGTGTCCTGAATTAAAATGAATATAGAATATTAGATATGGATATAGAAAATGCAATCATGTCATATGAAAATTGACAGAAATAAAGCATAAAGTAATGTAAAGTGACAATGTAGGTACAGTATATGGGAATATATCATATGGAGCCTCAACCAGCAGATCTGGACAAAGTAGTTCAGGTGGGTCAGCATGTGTATGCTGCAAAGTAACAAGTAATAGCAAGTTTATTCCATGCTGAAAAGAGAAGGGATCTGGACAAAGGCATGATGTAGTAGTCTAAGGAAGGGAGAAGGAGCAGTTAGGAGGGGATGCAGACACATGTATAGAAGCAGGAACCAGAATAACAGGTGATTTGTGACAGATGGCTAAGGGGCTGTTGTATTCAGTATTTTTGTGGAAAAGAGGTGGGCTATACTGAGGAGTTCACCCATTCACATTAAATGAAAGAAGATAAAGTTCAAATCAGCCTCAGGTTTAGTAGACTTGGGAAAGGTCAAGCAATTTTATCCTCCACAAAGTCCTTTTTGGGGATTGGGTTTTGACATCTGGACTAAGAAACATGTGCAAAACTACCAGCAGTTTTTCGTTTAAAACTTAGGCAAACAACGTTTCTAAAAATGTTTGTAAATATTGGAACCTTATCTTATCAATATTCTTTAGTTCTTTTTCCAGTTCAACAGACTATTCATTTTTTTCAACATGGCCTACAGTATGTTGTAATAGCAAAGCACTCAGATATTTTTTTTCCATTTTCGATTAGCTGCTTTACTGTAATTTTAGAACTTTCACAATTTAACACATTTTTCTCACTTTTTCATTAGCAGCATTTGAATTACTTGAAGACGATTCTTATTATTACATTCAATATTATACATTCAGTGTTTTCTTTGAACATTTCTAACTTTATTATTTATGTAATTTCTTAACCATTTTGTTCTTTAATTCTCAGCAGTTACAGTATATAACTTTTAAATCAAAATCTCCATTGATTTAAAAACCCCACAAATCATATGAAACTCATAACTGAAGTGTTAAAAACTTTAACATTTCAAATAAGGCCAGTACTCTACCTACATAGTCAGAAGCCCTTGATTGACAGCATAATGTCACCTCTCCAGTCTGCTGCCTAATCAGGCCGTAGCCCCAAAGACATCATGAACAGAACGTGCTTAAAAGGATTTTACAAGACCATTAAAATCCTAAATGCATATGTCAAATGCTCCATAAAATGAAAGTACTAAATTTCACACATATGTGTGACAGTAATTGCAGGCAATGTTATTTGATAAATAAAAAAAATTGAATATTGACTCATTTCAGCGTTTAAATACTGTAGTGCAGAAATGAGTCAGCAAAATAGAAGTAGGTTCTGCAAGGTATGGAAAGAAAAGAAGTGCATTTTTTAAAGCCCAAACAGATAATGTATTTCGACTAAAGCCAAAACAAGAAGAAACAAATGCAAATTAATTGTAAGGATACCATTGAATAACATAAAAGGAATTCCTTCACGCAATTGTGAGGAAGAACAAATAAACCATTCATGATTTCAGATCTATTGGTAACCAGGGTCCACAAAGAAAAGTCTTGTATGGATTAGTCACTCATAATCATATGAGTAGAAAAGAGACCACTTGATCTTGCACTTGTATTTTGTTTCTTTTTTTTCCAGTCACTCAGGATTCCAAATTTCAGTTGAAATATTTAAAAAATTGAACGTATGCCACAGGTAACGGTTTCATGGATCAGTTTGGTTGATGTTCTGTTCTTCTCTTCCTCAGGCTGAAGGGAAAGCACACAAATCGTCTCTCCATGCGCTTTGTGGACCCTGAGATGGAAACTCGGTTCTCTGTAGAGAAGGAGAAACAGAGTGGTGCTGCCTTTAGCTGCTCCTGTGTGGTGCTTTTCTTCACTGCCATTGTGGAGGCACTCATTGACCCGGGGTTAGTTCATATTTATGATCCCCCTTCCAATTTGAAATTCCCCATCTATTCATCTTTTAGTTAAATTCTCTTTTTATCCATCAATCCCCCTTCTTAGGACTTTAACATCTACATTACATGTAGTAGTATATAAAATGTGCCTGTGCTAATAATATTACAGGAGGTTGCCAGCAGCCATATCACCCTGCAGCAAACAACTGGCAACCCACGGAAGCTAAGCAGGTGTGAGCCTGGTCAGTACTTGAATAGGAGACCTTCTGGGGAAAACTAAGGTTGCTGCTGGAAGAAGTGGAACCAGCAGGGGGCCCTCACTCTGTGGTCTGTGTGGGTCCTAATGCCCCAGTATAGTGATAGGACACTATACTGTTCTAACGCTCCGTGGAAACCGAAGGGTATGACAAGGCACAGAAAGACATCATGGCCATCCACTGTAACCAAGAAAGTCTCCAGTCGTGACGATTACTTGTACCACTGGACCCAGGCTTCTGAAGTCGAGGGAGTGGGACTCCCCCATGGGCTTTCCCATTTTAAAAAAAGCTCTCTCGCACAGTTTTCTGTGTGCAGCTCATCTTCTAAACACCCGTCATCGTCGGACTTGACGGACAACCATCAGTACAGGAAGTTAATGATTTTAAAACAGTGCATTATCATATTAAATGTTCTAAAATATTCCTGGTGTATTTTCACATTTGTTTTGTGCAATCTGGAATATGTTTGCACACCCCTGAAACACAATAGTTATTACGATTTTTCCCATTTCAAAAAGATTGTATTTTGTTTTTGTAAGCTTTTTGTAATGCTGATTTACTCATTTGTATTCAGTGATACATTGATGCAAGTCAAAGTTATGTCATAGAAGTGAAAATGTTTTTTAAGGATTGTGTTATGTTCTCCCCATTATTTATCTTACTAATTACTAATCTGATCAATCCACACTGTTCTGGATCTCTTCACAGACTCATTGCCAACTATGTGACATTCATTGTTGGAGAGGTGCTGCTCCTCATTCTCACCATTTGTTCTTTGGCAGCCATCTTCCCCCGGGTATGTGCCATTCTCTTTATTTGCATATATGGCCAGAATTAATCCATAAAAAGTCCAAATACAGAGGTCATTTTTCTTAGCAAAGATTTTAGAAATTAAAGAGAGGTTATGTACAACAATGTACAATGTACAACATTTTGGTTAGACCTGACCTCTTCTGGAGTTATGGATACAGTTCTGGTTTCCACTTCACATAGAAAAAGAGTAAAGAACACACTGAGAAAGTCCCAGAAGAGCAGTAAGACTCTTTAGATGCCTTAATAGTTGCTTTATTAGGAAGCAACACAATCCTTTTGATCTTAAAAGAAGGTGTTTAAAAATATTTGATTGAGATCTTCAAGATGTTCATGATAATATGTCTTGAAATTTCAAACAGGTATATCAAGTTCAGTAAACAGAATACGGGGACATTTTTTTTCAAAGCCAATATTGCACTGATAGTAGAAAAACACTTTTTTACACAGAAAACTAGCAATGTATGAAATGGAATGTTAGAGCAGATTGTGAAGGTAGAGGTGTTGGAAATCTTCAAATCTTAAGTTTGATCTTTATCTTTAACTTTATTTTCATTATACATAGAAAATTGACAAATTAACAGTTTGTATTTTTTCATCTGTTTGCATCCTTTTTATAGTCTTATGTCTTATACATATCTATTGGATTGTATCTCCTGAATAGAACAGTTCAGAGAGATTAAGTCTTAAACAATGTGTAATTACAAATAGTGTACATACTGTAATAAGAAAATAAAAAAAGCAATGCAAAAAAAACAACTGGAGCATACTCTTCTTGGGTAATAAATTTTGCTCCCATTTGCTTTATATAAGCATAGAGGTAGGCAAAACACCAGGATGAAATGTCAGATTTAAGTTTGTGTTTGTGTATAATCCCTCAAAAAAAAGCTATAAAGACACAAGTTTTCGTTACATCTCTTGCCTACCAAACAGTTGTGAGTTATTGCCCAATGTGATTGTGTGGGTTGAAACATTATGAAACCAATCTAGGACAGACAGACCAATACATTTTGGGCCTTTCTTATGAGAATGGCTGTTTCTAAATTGTTAAGCATGTCCATGACTTGCTGTTTCTGCTGTTAATGTGTTAGAATATTCTTGTTGGTAATAGGTTTGTCAAAGTGGGAACAATGTCAGCTCTACCACTGAATTCTACTCCATTTGATTAATACATTCTGAAAAACAATATGGGACACATACTGTGGCTACAGTATTGAATGTCTTAAATGAGCAATTAATTGAAAGAAAGTAAGAATTTCAAAGCATGGTGCGCTGAAAGACTGTATATTAGTTAGTGCTTTCATCTATAGCGACATATAGAATCTAGGGAATTAATGGAACTCTGCAATAATCTTGAAGTTAATTAGATTTCTAAATTTTCTGTAAACAATTTGTTGATTAAGAAATAAATAAGGAGTGACTTAAAAACAATAATTCATTCAACTACAGTATAAAGGCACAAGTCATGAATCATATTGTATTATATAGATTTACAGACAATGTACAATGTGAGTTCTAGAGCTCATAACACCAGCATCTAGTCTTCCCCCACTCCATCACTCACATTATGAAGCCCGCATAGCTGGTCCTGTGAGCTTTTCTAGTTAAATTTGGAAATTTCAAGTACTAAAGCTTCTCATGCCATCTCATCTCCACTCAAATGGGGCTGTTAACTGGTCAAGTATCCATGAATTGGGATCTGCCTGTCTAGTCAAATACTGTATCTCAATTGTGCAATTACCCATCTAGCTAGTGATTCTGATTACAAGGCACTAGGGTGGCTGATTGGCCATAAAGTAATCAATACAGACATAAGGGTCCCCCGGACAATTGACTATATATATATATCTTTTAAGCAACCATGAGGATGTTGACCTTTGCATCACTAAACTTCCCATTAATAGTTTCTGTAGTTGAAATGCTCAGTTTCATAAACCTTTGTCATAGTAAACAAGGGTTGTTTTTATTAACTTGTTAATTTGACTTAACTAACTGTTAATCAGCTCATAGAAAAAAACGTTATTTTATGTGAATTCATGGAAGTGGAATAAATTGTTTGAAATATGTTAATAATAGAAGGTAAATTTAACTGGCCAAAATGTGGCTGGTAATCTGTTATGTACTTTTGTTACTTCTAAGTTTCGGTGAACATTCATTTGTCCTAAGAAGTAGTACTTAGGATTCCTACATCTCTTTAGAAGTCAGTTAATATAAATATTTACACCCAGTCTTAGATCCAGTGAGCAATATGTTGTTTTTTAATGCAAGTGATTTTTAATCCAAGTTTAAACCAAGTTTAATTCCATGTGATTATTTGAATATTCACATACTGGATACTAGGGTCTTGACATTCCCAACTGTCACAAATAACCAAGTCTACAGTACTATACATACAGTACTATATACTATAGTATATAGTATGTATGGTTAAAAGACATACTGTAACTCACCTTTCTATGTTATATAAAGCACTAATGCATTGGCTCTAAATTAATTGAAATAACACTTAGAAACTACATAAAACAACAGTATTCACAAACTAATCAGTAAAAATAAATCCCTCCTCTGTATCTTGCAGATTCCTACGCTTTCTTTGCCTCCTTGATTAGCACCACTGTATTGCAACAGGCAGTAAAACTGTTGAACAGCCTGTAAAGTCATCTGCAGCCTATTGTTGCAAATGTTGCCTGACACAGAACACGGAGAACTGTGAATAATATAACAACAAGACCATGTTGAAATGTAAAAGCTGGTTAATGGGCACTTGGGCAGAGGGCAGGGACACTAGCTAGATTTGTTCCAGGATCCTAATGTGTTGCACCGCTAATATCAAAGTTGCAAAGTTGCTAATTTTCATCCCACTCTGCTCTTCTTTCATTCAAAACCCCATCAAGAATCATGAATAAGCCAATTTCTGAATGTTCAATCCGCAGATGTTGAGACCCTACAGTACTGTGCACTTTGTGATAATGCTTTCTAGTTGTCTTTACATGTATAATTATCAAACATTAAACTGGTACTGTTTCTTAACCAACATGATTAACTCAGTGGTGAATATTAGTGGTGCTTGTAGTATAAAGTATTTCTTGCACAATACATTACTAAAAGTATATATGTATATATCATCTTTTATTTTTATTTTTCTTTCACCATGACCTCTCATTGCATATTACATTATGGATGATATAATACGTTCTCCTTTATTACTCTTTAACTCATACTACAGCTCCTAATGCACAAACAGTTATAGTTGCCAGTACATACTCTTTTATCTATGTTTATGCCATCTGTTTTTTTTTTATTTTATTGCAAAGCTCAGACCACAATTTGTTTCAAAACATTCATCTTCCTTTGACTTTAGAGAGAAATAGAGATGTTGTCTTGCTTTGTCTTTTCATTTTGGATATAAATGAACAGAAAACAACTAAATTTTGAGCACTTCTTCAGCATGTGTTATATTGAACCCATTCATAAGATTGAAAACTAAATGAGATCTATAAAGAGTGGTTGTGACACAAGGAATACCTTTTGGAGGGAGCAGTAGTGAGCAAGAAGATTGAACTCCCATGAATGTGTCATTTTCTTCTCCTGGTAGATATTTCCCAAGAAACTGGTCTCATTTTCCACCTGGATAGACCGTACACGCTGGGCCCGAAACACCTGGGCTATGTCTGCCATTTTCATCCTCACCATGGCGGACATTGTGGATATGGTGAGTAGTCTGATTTCTTGGTTTAGTTTGTTAAAGAGTTAAAGCTTTGAGAATGTTAACTGTAAAGAGTAATGCAGAGACAAGACATAGAAGGAAAGTAAGACGATTATGAAGGTCTGTTATTCAGGAATTATAATAACATGGGTTCAATTCTGGACCTGGCGTACTATCTGCACCGAGTTTGTATATTCTCCCCATGTTCACATGGGTTTCCTCCATGTACTCCAGTTTACTTCCACAGTCCAAAAACATGCTAACATGTCTCTGTGTGTGCCCTGCGAGTAGTAGGTATAAACACCTGAGTTCTTTGTTCTCTGGCACAGCCTTAGTGAAAAGAGTAATAATAATTTAGGCACACTGAGTTAAACATTTATTAATAATGACAATGACAAAGTAAACAACATACAACATAAACATACTGTACAAGTTGCACTATTTACTATCAATGCATCCTAGAGGGTTACATCCTGACCAACCAGAAAAATTCCAGATTGCTACAAAGTACTCAGGTGCTCTGTAACACCTACACAGGCCAACAAGAGAGATCAACCTGCCTTCTGAACCAACAGACATGGCTTACAGTTAATTCTCTCTCTCTGTAAACCATCCGGTTTACAAAATTATTGGGAACCTACTATATCTCCCTATTTTAAATATGCACCCACTACCCAGTAGAGGATGTTTTTAATTGAGGGATTCTTTGCACAAGAAATAAAAGTTTCCTACAAACAACCGAATGGCAAGCTCTCTTAACAAGGTTCAAATACTTAACTCCTATCTGGTCTTCATGGATGCTCTGGCTAAGGAGCTCTTGTTTGGCATATGCTTTATTTTCAGTATCCTCCTTTCTCCTCTCTCTCTCTTTTTGCCTCATTCCTTGTCCTCCTTTCTCTTCTTGTTCTCCTGTCTTCTTTCTGTCTCTTCCCATGTCTGTACTCGTGTTGTATGCTGTGTTCCTGTACTATTGATTAATAGTACAGGAACAATATTGATTAATTATCTAGAACTTTTAAATAACCAGGGTAAACCAGAAGATTAATTTGATCAATGTGTCTCACACCAAGCACAACTAAGTAAACACCATAGATTCTTCCTTGCTTTGAAGTACAGAGAACTGTAAATGTTTAACCCAGTGAGGTGTTAACCATTATATCTAGATTCTTAAACAACACTTCAGTAGTCACATCCAATAGCCATAACAATATCATAATAATCAACATAACCTTTGCTTTAAAATGTGCAAAAAACAGAGGTACATATCAAATCAGGACTGCAAGATTCCTGCAACTACATATTCCAAATATGCCTTTTGCCTGTGTCTTTTAGTTTGCCTCTATCCAATATATATAGAAATCAGATAAATAAATTTGTAGCTGGGGATTGGATCAAAGTTTTGATTTATTTCAGACATCTGTTGACTAGCATTTATATCAATTTATATTGCTACGGTATCAAATGAGTATAAGTTTGTATTTCATCTGACTAACTTCATACTTTAAGCAATTTGGCAATTGTGGCTGCTTTAAAATGACAGGCATTGGGTAGTAAACCTTTTTTTCATTTTCTTGTAATCAGAATAACAACCAAAAGCTTACAGGATAGCAACAATGGAGCAATGCAATATTATTTCCAACACACCTATGATGTCTCTAATGAAATGTTCTATCCTTTTTAAAATACCCCTCACTTAAATCTAAAATAAAATGAACAACTGTATTGTGGAAATGTTTGAATACTTTTACAAAACTGTTTTCTGTCATGTTGGGCACTGGCCATATTGAAAATCTTCTCCCTGTGAGAGTTATGGTGAAATCCCTTTGAAATCTAATGATTTCAAGGTGGATTTGTTTGGTAGGGTATCATTTTGCACTTTTCTTTCATTTGCCTGATTTCTATTATTACAGGTTATCTGACACCAAAAGGTGAGGTCAGTGTTCAACTTAAGCAACTAGAATAATCCACTTTTTACACTTGGGGCAGTACATGTTCCCTTAAATATGATTGAAGAGACCCTGATATTAACATTTTTATCTCAACTGACAGACACAAACTGAATCATTTTAATGTGGGTCTTTGGGTTATTTTGTGTGAGCTTAGACTACTGATACCTGGTTCAACTCTAAGCCATCAAATTCTCTCTGAACCTGGTATCTCTGAGGTTCAGACATCAACTTAATCAGTATCCTAAAATGGTAGCCAATAGAATGTGTTTTAAGTCATGATGGATATTTCACTTAATCTTGTTAAAGAAAACAGCCACTTGTAATGTTTATATGTAATGTTGTATATAATTTCACAAACGTCACATTTAATGTTATCTGCAGCACACAACTATCCAAATGTTTGCATACTGTAAAAGAAGTACTACAGCCTTACAGGAAACAGAAACAAAGCTCTTAAGTTATTGGCACACTTTAAGTCATTAAGTGCAATAGCATTTGTAAGGGTACAACTGGAGTCTTATAGCCTTGCTTAATAAATTGCATTATTAAAAAAGATTTGTGTCAAAACCTATTTAAAAAGGAGGTCCCACTGAGCTTTTGTTTGTTTAATGTGAAGCTTCAGCAAGGGTTTGGGAATTTATGCCTGACAATGGTGTGAGGGCAAAGTACAATGCAAAAGGGACTTTCATTCATGTGTGATGTTAAACTATTTTCATAACTATTGATTATTAATGATATTTTGGCAAAGGGTTGTATGAAGTTCAGTGCTCTCTTTTTTTCTCTGTGTAGTGGGATTCATAATGATTGCCATGCACCCTAAAAGGCCCTGCTGAGGCTCTCAACTTAAGATGCGTTTTCCATGTTATGGAATCATGTAGGAGATATTTCCGTAGCTTGTTTTAGAATAAATGTCCCAATAGAGACACTTTTGCTGTTTTGACAGGAATAATATGATGTTATTAAACAATAGTCTTTGTCTAGGAGAGAAGGAAAATTGCTTCTTCCTTAAACACTCTTGCCCTATTGGCTTTGGGTGTTTAATTAATTCCCCTGAGAGCTCCATTACCACTGCCTAGTCAGTTACTGTACCTTTTAATAGCATACAGCCATCATCGCTCCATGGTGAAGCTCCACAAGAGCTTTTGTGCCTGTTCCTTATTGTTTTTCACAATTGCGTTATTGACTGTTTTAGGTCTGCTTTAGGTCAAAAGCTTTTTGCAATTTCAATTTGTGACTGGATGCCATTTTTACTAAATTTCTTGTATCTTGGATATATAAGAAGAAAATCAGATTGGTATGATTTATGTTTATACAACTAATGCAAGGTTGACAAAGGCAGAAATGTAAGAATAAAATTATGGTTTTGGGAGTAGATCAGTTGTTTGCAGCAGCTCTAAAAAGTGGCTTAACAAATACGTTCCTATCCCTCCTGTTTGTGTTTAAGCTTTGTAAAGAACATGAGACACTCTAGGCATGGTGGTGCAGTGGTTTCAAGGAAATTGCCCCTGGCGTGAGTGTGTGCATGCATGTTTGTGCATCTGCCCTGAGATGCACGGGCATCCCATCCGGAGTGTGTGCTTCCTGTTGTTTGCTGGGATAGGCTCCGACTCTCCAGCGACCCTGAACTGGAAGAAGCAGTTAGAAAATAGATGGATGGTCTGAAAAGTGCAATTTTATTCCTGCATTTGATAATGAGTACATACATTATATATTTCTTAAAACATTGTCTTAGTCTTTTCTTTACAGGCATTCTCTTATGTGATTTCAAAATTAGTTCTTTTAAAATTAGTTATAAATGGCAAAAGATGAATGTACCATAGTCGCTTGGAATTCATTTGTCTATATTTCCGTCATTAACACACTGGGGTTAACAATACCCTGCTTAAGTGATGTCTTACAAAGATGTGATTTTTAAAATGCTCATACTGGAATAGTTCAATACAACTCGCAAAATAGGATACCATCATGCTGAGATTGCCACAGAGTTCTATAATGTTCTTCATTTAGGACTACATTTAAATCTATTCATTAATTATTAATTTATTTATTCCATTCTTGCCTGTTAGTGTTTTATTTTAGTCTTGCATGGTATCTATTAATGGTACAATTCTTCTTAACATGCACTCCATTTGAACAATTGTATTCTGTCTTACAGCTCAGCTGTCTGCAGCCCCCTCAGTCATCTCAGAACAACACTGCGATGGGTGTGACAGCAGGAGGCTGTGTAGACAATCCTAAGTACTACAGCTACATTGCAGTGCTGGCTCTGTTGGCCACCACCATGCTGGTGCAAGTCAGTCACATGGTGAAGCTTACTCTCATGTTGCTCATCACTATAGCAACTGGCGTGGTTAATATTTACAGCTGGAGGGACATTTTTGACCAGTATGACCAAATGCGCTTCAAAACGTACATGTGAGTGGGACCTAACCATGGCTCTTTTCTTTATTGCTAAGGGAAACAAATAACATTTTACAAAACCTCACTGGTTATTATTGGCTGCAGTGGAAAGATTACACTTAATTCACCTTTTAATTTAGAGTTACAATTTTCATAACTATGGTACAGTGAATTCTTTTTTTATATTTGTTGATTAGATATGGCTTAGTATATCCAACTGTTAGAAAATTGAAAGTCCACTTTCATCTGTTATTATTCTTGAAGGATATATTAGGACTTTTTCAAGCCTAAAAGGAATAATAGATTTTTTAAATAGATTTATATATGTAAAGAGTAACATTTTAGATTTGTTATTATTGTGGGATTTGGTCAACCATATCAAAATATTGTTTTTAGAAGCAGTTTAGTAATAAAACCAATACACGCAGGAAGTACTAGAATACTACTGCATGCTTAATTGTTTCCTCTATGTACAGTACCTATCTGACAATAGGTGAGATTTAATATCCTACTGTATGACATGGCACATACTTTACAGCCACTTGCATCAGAATGCCTGCTATTGCTACAGGAACAAAAGATACTGTAGCATAATTCCAAGCTAAAAATGGGAAACTGAAAGGAACTGTTCTGATCAATTCCAGGTCCTCCCTTGTTCCCTCAAAATATTCCATGACAGTGATGATCTTCATAATGATGCTCAGCTTCTACTACTTTGCCCGTCATGTAAGTACATTTTAATTTTTGCAGTACATAGGCTGCATAAGAGAGAAACAAAGTTTAAATCTGAGTAAAGACAAGCCTCCTGCAGATTTCTCAAAATAAAAAATGTAGAATTTAACACACAGATGCCTCCCCATCCACTTGCATTTAGAAATGTCTGAATACAAATGAGTCAAGAATCCTGTGGGGAGGGAGTGAGAGCTTTTGAAATGTAATAATATATGTTAGTATATTCCTTTTTATTACCATCCTCTGGGAGTGATGAGGGTTAGGACATTAGAGACATCTATTCCAGTCAGTCTTCATTTTCAAAGACTTTTGTGAAAATATCTTGATACAGTTGTGCTTAAAGATGGGTAGATTTGCAGTCCTAGATATACTGAGCTTCAAAAGAAATTAGGAACTTTATGCAAAGTGCATTGTGTCAGGAGCAGTTCTTTCCGGGCCCTATGTGGACGACACGATCCGGAAGGTGAAGAAACAATAGGGAAAAATATCATGCAGGAGTGGGTCAGGAGACAGGGGGGCGTGTCCGAGGTGAGCAGGTTTCCAGGGGAAGTGAGTCCGGGGCAAACAATCCAAGCATAAATCCAAAAGGGAAATCCAAAATGGGAGGCAGAGTCCAAGACCAGGGGATCCATCCAAAGTAATTAAAAACCAGAACCGGGTCGGGACCGGCGGGACAGGGAATCAGGAACAGGAAACTAAAACCATAACGGAGCCAGACGCAGCAGGACCCCGGGCTCTCACGAAACGGGATTCAATGAGAAGCGCCGGGCAAACGCCTGCGTCTGGTTTTAAAGGTGGAACTAAAGAGGGGCTGGAATAAGGAACAGGTGTGGGGAATGGACAGAACGAGGAAGGGCTGGAGCGCCTTTAAGAGGAGGAGTAATGATCGGGACACATTGCCTGCACTTTGAATATCTGCTCCACTGAATATGCTTTTTTTTACAGTTATGTCAACAAATGTCCTACTGTATAATTTTAGTGATCAAACAAAATCACAGTTTGGCGTTTATGAAAAACCCTTAGACGCTTACGGACATTCTGGGCAGAATTCTGTTTTATTGATGGTCTCTCTTAGCGTGGCAGTTTCTTTCATCAGAAGTTCTTGTGAATTAGTAGTGTGGCATGGATAGTCACATGATTATTGTCAAGTTGTTGTCATGAAGAAAGCACAGAATTGGTCCGGAGATCCTGTCCATGCATTTATGAATAGTGATGTCCAGTTGGGGTAGGAGTCCACATGTTTCTGTGTGCGGAACTACAGAACGAGATGAGTCAGTCTGGGCATTATATCATCGGTGTCGTTAAGATGGAGCCATTTTAAAATGGCCGTGTTTGGGAGTTGGAAGACACAAAAAATGTCCAATTTATGAGAGCCCTTTCGCACAAAACCTTCCTATGCAGATGGCACAGAGAAGTTGACCAGTTCCTGGACTTATTTCCAAGGTGAAATAAGGCTGGCCATAGTCTTGCTGCTACAAAGTAGCATCTGAAATATATAAGGAACCTGCAAAAAACAAGCCTGTTTTTAGGGGATAATAAAGACGTTTGAACAGTATTGTAATAAACTCACTCAGTAATATGTCTGTACAATTTCTCTTCAGCCACTGTTTTTTTTTCTTACCCCAGGTGGAGAAGCTGGCTCGCACGCTGTTCCTGTGGAAGATTGATGTTCATGACCAGAAGGAGAAGGTATACGAGATGCGTCGCTGGAATGAAGCTCTTGTAACCAACATGCTGCCTGAACATGTGGCTCGTCACTTTCTAGGCTCTAAGAAACGAGACGAGGTAAGAGACAGAAGGTAGTTCAAATGAAGCATATAGGAAGAAAATGATTAAATTAATGGAGCAGTTAACCCTGAAAAACAAAGGAAAATCTGAGATGTGGAATGAGAAAAAATATTACTGGAAGAAATAAACGTATACTACCTGTATTAGAATTTTAAAAAATCAGATCCGGGAAGAATGTCAGATAACTGAAACCTGTGAAAAAACTTTTTTCTAATGACTCACTGTCTCTGTTTTATATATAGGAGCTCTACAGCCAATCATATGATGAGATTGGTGTCATGTTTGCATCAATCCCCAATTTCTCTGACTTCTACACTGAAGAGAGCATTAACAATGGAGGAATTGAGTGTTTGCGGTTTCTTAATGAGATAATCTCTGATTTCGACAGTGTGAGTAATCCTTTTAATCTGCAAGCCTTTACTACTGTGTAACCAAGGCCTCTTATGTAAGTCAATATTAATTATTTACGTTGATATAATTCAAAATATGTGATATAGCTCAATGTGAATTTCAGATCTTGTTTATCAACAAAGTAAGTCTGTTTTAAATGAGATCCTGAGTTGCCACATTGCCTTTTAAATTTTTTACAGTTTTAAGTATCATTGTTGTGTCATGTACCATTTAATGTTAAACAAAATACAGTCCAAATGTGGGAGAATATGTGAGAAAAGAAAATGTAACAAGAATGGCTAAGGTACAGTGTATAAAATATTAAGCAAAAGCTTAAGGGCATGATATAATGAACTTATAGAACTTCATGAAGAATGTCTTCTATGATTTTGGTTACTTGCTGAATGAAGGTCTGGGAAACATTCAATGCATAGCAATTACAATAAATGCCTATATAAAATCATGGCATATATAAACATTATCATCATTCTGCCTTAGTAGCCTTTAACAGAGGATAATTTGTGGGGGGCATGATGCAAGTTTACAACATCTTGATAGAAACTGACAAGGTCAATACAGAGTTATAGTGAGCTAAAAATGAAGCAGAGACTCATGACTAAATTGATAAAATCAACTGAGTTTATCTGTAATTCTTTACATTGCCCTACAGCTCCTCGATGAACCTCAGTTTCGATGCATTACGAAAATCAAAACCATTGGCAGCACATACATGGCAGCCTCTGGTGTCACTCCAGACATAAACACCAATGGATTCAACAACAGTCTGAAGGTAAGGCCTTTAACGTGCGACCTGCAGTACAAACCTACAGTATATGTGAGTTTTCAGTGAAATGTGAATATCTGTTGAACTGCAAAAAAGTCCAGAAAATAATATTTTTTTTCCTTGAATTAGTTTATCTGTCTGTACAGTCAGGTTTGACTAGTGTGTCACAATATATCCAAAGAATATATAATATAATTGCATATTCACTAGGAGTAACAAAACCCAAGAATTAAGTGTACTGAAAGGATTATGGAGTGTTTTAGTCTAATTTGGCTTGGCTGAAGAGGTGGAGGTGGGGTGCAAAAAGATGTACTGTATGTGAGGGAGAGAATGGGATAGTGTACTGTATTTATAATGTTTTATGAGAGGAAATGACATAAGGAGTGATTGTGAATTACTGACAGCTGAGTCTGATTGAACTTGGCTGTTGTCATCCCTCCTGAAAATTCATTATAAAATCCATTACTTAAAGTTGAATAAGAAATGAAAGAGAATACACTGACAAACACTTACAGTAAATGGCAGTGTTTGTGGGGCGTTCATCCATGGTCCTTGAGAGACACAGATTCTTCTGTTTTTCATTCCAGCATAGTTCTCTGTTAATTAAATTAATTGAGCAAATTCATTTACTTTAACTTTAAGCTTTGAGTTTAATTAGTCAAGAATAATTTGATCATTATCTAGTGAATGAAGATGTCACACTATAATTATTAGAACTCTTCAAATCTGGGGTGTGAGACCACTGCTCAATTTCCATAAGGTTTTGTGTGATTGAATTTATGAGAAATGACAGAGCTTAAATCTGAATCATACAGTACACCAGGATTTCTTTTTTCTCTCTATATTGTTTTCTTTGTAGATTACCTCTAGCTGTGTACATTTTTATTGTACAATATCCTGTGGTTATTTCCTCTAATACAAATTAGAAGGAAGTATGTGGATATTGAGAACCACATTGAGTCTATTAAATGTCTAAGACACATCACACACGGATGATAGATGTCCATGATACGGCAACTGTGCCGTTCTCTGTTTTTCTTTTCTGTCGCCAGAAAGAGGAGTTATCAGACAAGGAGCGATGGCAGCACCTGGCAGATCTGGCTGATTTTGCCCTGGCCATGAAGGTCACCCTAATGAACATCAACTACCAGTCCTTTAACAACTTCATGCTTCGTATCGGTTAGTGTCTGATGCCGCATCACCGGAAGAACCTAATGTCTTGAAAGTATAGGCCTGTCACCCTCTTTTGTTAAAAAAATACTCTGTCGTGCTTAAAGAGATCCGGCATCTTAATACAATGCACAATGCTGCCGTAATGATGGTGTACAACAGCTCTTGCAGTCAGAAATGACTTTTCTTTCAATTCTGAAAAGTCACACAAAGCCCACCAAAGTGCTTGCTACAAAAGGCTTTGTTTGCTTAATTGCCTGCATTTTAGAGAACCTTAGGGGAAAATGATACCTTGCATGAAAAGTGTTTTTTGTCAAAAATCTAGGCATTGCTTGCAAACATAGTATCTCCATCTATAAAAGTTTAGGTATCGAATGACAGAATGCCATTCAGCCCATCTTCCTCATTTGGTTGCTCCTAGCTCAGTGATCCAAACATTTCATCCAGTAGTTTCTTGGAAGTAAAATTAATATTTTAAGATATGTTGTTATAGTGTTGAAATGCCTTAATGAAAGGCCTCTGTGTGTGCTGTCATGCTTAGGTTTGAATAAGGGTGCAGTGCTGGCAGGAGTGATAGGAGCACGGAAACCTCACTATGACATCTGGGGCAACACTGTGAATGTGGCCAGCCGAATGGAGTCTACTGGAGTGATGGGCAACATTCAGGTATACAGGGACAGTAGGATTTTCAAAAGTTTGAAACCAGTCAATTTACAGTAAAGACATCATTAGTAATAGACAACAGATGTTTGGATCCAAAGGAAATTAGATTTAGGAGCTTGATCAATAATCTGTCATACTGAAAGTAAGGAATTTAGAGAAATTAAATTTAGAGAAAAAAAGAGGTAGCTTCTTGTGTGAGCTACATAGATTAACTGAAAATGTAGTGTTGAAAAAGAGCAAGCCTGGCTTGTTGGTGTTGCAAGAAATGGATAAATCCCACATACAGCAGATTGAAATTAGGTACTGGTGTTTGGAGGGTTGATTGAAAAGTCCAGAATCACACTTGAAATATTGAAAAATTGGACTAGAACAGTACAGTAGCTCTGATGCACGTTGGCTTCAATTAACAAGGATATTATTCTCAAACTATAAGGTGCCTGAATGCCTTTTCTCTGTCTACCCAGGTTGTGGAGGATTCCTATACAATCCTAAAGGAGTACGGGTTTCGGTTTGTGCGACGTGGGCCTATCTACGTGAAGGGCAAAGGGGAGCTGCTGACCTTTTTTCTCAAAGGCAGGGAGAAGCAGGGCTCCTTCATCAATGGCTCCTCAGTCACCTTGCCACACCAGGTGGTGGACAGTTCATGACAGAGCCACTAAGCCATGCAAGACTGATGGACACCAGGGATCAAGCCTTAAAGGCAAACTGCAGGACCCACATCTCTGACTACCTATATTCTTTTTTTAAGAAAAGGAAAATTCTATTGAAAATTTATGAAAAAACTGAGAAACCAGCTGAAAAATTGAGATTAGACCTTCTTCACCTTGAATCATACACCAGGATTTCTTTTTTCTCTATATATTTTTTCCTCATTCATTCACGGATGATAACTCGAAATCAGACATACAGTACAGATGAACCTCAGACATTCAGAGCCCTCTCGTGACCCAGCTGATCAATCACAAATGTTTTATTTCTAGAATGGAATAAAAAGACTATCTGGTTTCCTCACAGGACTAGGGCTGCTGTGGAATTTTTTTGTTGTTTTAAAAGGACGTAGGCAAATGCTGACTAGTCTGCAGTCCCAGTCACAATACATAGCTTTTGGTCAAGGGCAAAAAAAACCTATTTTCACATGGAACACTGGATTATATAAACCAGGTCAAGGACTGCTTTCAGCATTTTCTCCTAGACTCTTTACCAACCGCCTCTGTGTATTCTCAAAGCCTTAGCAGAATTGCTAATTCTTTGTCCCTAAACATCCTCATCTTCTTTCCAATTTAATTTTAATATCATTCATTTTTAACACCAAATGCATTTATTTTCTGAAAGTGGTTCTTAGTTCATAATTCAGATTCCATGATTTGTTTAGTGGAACAAAGAGAAAACTAGTATATTTGCACAATCCTAGTCCACATGTAAAATGTCCGTACGTTCGATTTTGCTTTATTGTAAGCCTGGTCATTCCATATTCCAGTAAACAGTGTTAGTTTTCTCTAAGCTGTTTTACTTAAAATGTATTAGATTGCTGGAGTAAACTAGCTATTTTTTGGTCAATAATAATTGAAAGCCTTTCTATTGCATCTGACTATTGCCATGACTGATATAGCTTTTTCTAGACAAAAACATCCCTGCTGCTGTCTTTCCTACCTGGCTGCTTATTTTCTTCATATTTCCTAGGCCCAGTTAAACCTCTTTCACTTGTAAGAACTGGCTGGCATCCCATTCAAGCCCCAGACCTTGTTTCTTGTAATTGTTCTCTTGCAGTTTATTCTTCTCTAGGAGTGACTGAAAGTGGGATATTGTAATCTCCTGGTCTCCCTCAGTACAAAAATGTCTCCGCTTATGCTACATTTTCTATACCAACTATACAGTACATCCTCTTTTTATGCAAGCAGTAAAACTATGAAAAACAGGAGGGATTCAGGACCAATGCAGAGTATGAACAACTAAATCTTGCATAAAATTAAATCAATCATTATGTAAATCAGGTTCCAGTTTACTGAATTATTATCAGTTTTGACTAGAAAGACAATGTAGAAAAGAACATTTATTTTGGGAAAGCTCCTACTTTGATCAAAGACAAATTTAAAAATATAGTAATTCTTTTCTACAAATCTGAGGTTGCAATATCAAAACAAGGGGCCAAATATTCAAGAGCTGTGATTATTACAAGATTTTAGATTTTTTTATGTTCTTTACAGGTTAACCTTTGGAAAGGTGGAAAATGTTTCAAATATGAATTGCAGTTGGAAAGTATTTACAAATCCTTTGATTTTTTAAAATGTTTTTTTTTTTAATTCATACTCAATTCATTTCATATGTTTGAAGCATTTTGTTTTCCAAGCATTATTTAAAGACCTTGACTAAGTGGGTAACTGTTTACGATAGGAGTACAAATGTTTTGGCAACAAGAGAGAAAAAGAATTATAACTGGCAAAACAAAATGTTCAGATAGGGAAATGGGCTTTGTATAACATTCCTTCAAAGTGCACAAGAGCTGAGTATAAATTTGAAAAAAATAGCATGTAGAAAACACAGCAATATTTTAACATACTTTACTTTAGGCATTATAAATCTGATGTCCTGCTGCAGCATTGCTTATCAGTTATGAAAATAACACCTTCAGTTAACATAACAGCTGAATATTTGTCTTTTTTTTGTTACTGACAGCCAATGTGAAGTTTAACAGAATCTGATTTTTTTCTGCTGCAGCATGTTTTTTTCGTAGCTCTTTAGAATTGTGCACTAGACATTAGAGCTGTGGCTTCTAGAACTTTGCGTATGCCCAATATTATATGCCAGGTTCCTAATGTGATGCTAAAATATTCCAGGATATGATGTAACTCGTATAAAATATGGGCACGGAGAACTGATTAGAGCTCTTGACAAGAGGCTTGTAGGATCTTAGGTGGGACACTGCTGCTGTTCCCTTGAGCAAAACACTTGACTCAGGTTGCCCCATTAAGTACCCTGGTATATAAATTGATCTCCAGATCCTAGTCATAAATGAAACTGTCTTCTCAAGTAATGTTTATGGGTAAGTAAAGAATTAAATAAACCCTTTTTTTTTTCAAAATATGCCCTGGCTAACATAACCACAAATCAGCTGCATTTAACTGGTCAACTTACAAGATACGTAAATCAGTCCAACATCCACATTTCGAGAGCTACCCACTCTTCTCTCCCATTGCATTACTATGCATCTCCATAAACTGTTTTTATTTTGAAATGCTTTATATTGATAATTTGATGGCTAATTGATTTCACATAGCATACTGTATGTATTGAGTCTGAAACACAGTCATTGGAATCTTAACTCACCAATTGGTTACAATCTGATTTACAATATTAGTATTAGGGATGCATTGATGGGCTGAAATGCAGTCCCTATTAGGTGAACAAAAACAATTGTTGCCTTTAGCAGATAGAGAACATTCTCACACACACCCCATACTTTAACTTAATTTACGTAATTTGCATTTTGTCTCCCTCTCCCTGTTCGAAAATATGAAAGTCCTAAATGCTGACTGAGGCAATACAATTTGGCATAACAAGTACAAATGTTGCAAATGATTTGATGTTTTGCTTGTAAATCCAGACGGTAATTTCTCAGATGTGGAAATCTGAGCTGACAGTTTCATTTACAGTTGTGCACCTTATAGAGTTGCAGGCATAAGTATTGTTACCCTCTGTAAGTTTGTCAGGTTGAGTCAGTGTCCAGATAACTTTGAAAATATACAAAGAATGAATAAATATAGTGATAACAAACATTTATTAAACTAAACATATTAGTATGAAAATTTCAAAATTTGCTTTTTAACACCATTTATTTAAGATAAGATAAGATGTTATTGTCCCCTGGGGGAAATTCTTTTATGGACACCCAGCAGTCCATATTTAGACGGTAGTTGAGAATTGTTTTGGTTCAAATCCATTCAGATTTTAAAACTTTTTTTTAACATTTATTCTTCCCAGAACCGCAAATCAGCACTAATTTTTATCATCAAGCAAAAATTAAGTCTGCAGGATCTTTGAATATCTGGCCCATTGTTATGTGTGCTAAACCAATGTTTTAAACAGTAGAATATGAAATAGACTCCAGAATAAAATGACATTTGTGACACATATTGGTCATGCGGAAATAAACAAGGGGTTCTTAAGTGTCTTGTGCTTAATAATTACCCTTCAGTTAGATTTATGTTGCTTATATAATGTAAAAATAATAAATAATGTGAAGATATCAAACCAAAACTGGAAATTAAATGACAGGAGTATTTTTTTTTTCATTCATGTAGGCCAAAGAATGACTGCTTAATAAAAATAATAAAGCTAAACTGTAAACAATAAATGTTAAGGCAGTTCAGATTATAACACTTTCAATTGGTCCTGGATCCCTTCTGAGGTTTAAAAAGGTTCAGATCCAAACTTTGAACAAGAAACTCTGTCAATCTGCACTGGTCTCTGTGCTAATTCTTGTCACTGCTTCTGCTCCTCTTTATATTACATATTATATATATATATTTAAGAACAAGAAGAAAGTTTTATTAAAAGTTCTGATTTGAAATGTGTGCTTTTTCTTTACATACACAGCAATTGTTTTTTCACCAATCACAATTCTGTGGTTCAAAAGATACATTTTTTGGAATCTTAAGCTGAAAAACAAATTTCCCCAAATGGTCTGCAATTGTGAAGATAATTATATTTCACAAAACAATGTACTGCTTGATGTGGTCAACAATCAAGGTTGTTTGCAAAGACCTAAATCAAGTGGTGGTTTACTCAAGGCCTGCAGGATCCTTTAGTTAGTGTTCCATTTTAATTCTAAATAATTTTAATTAATATTTGGATCAGAAAGCATATCCTTTATTTAGTCATTTGATTTTGAACACATCACAGACAACGTTAGAATTGAATCAGTTGCTCATTGAAAAGTGGCCTTGAGGAGTGGAGCTGCCTACGTTTGCGTTGAATTAAAATGATCAAACTAAATGATAAACATTTAAAAGGCAGATCTCATAGTTTCAAGATTTGCTTTTCTACACATTTGGCTTATTGGCTAAGGGTAGGGGAGGATGTGTGGTCCAGGGCTGTTAGCAAAACACATTAACCTGTATGTTCACCCAGGCTCTTGCAGATTTGTGGAGGTGTTGGTGAGGCAGGTGGCACAGTACTGAACCTCCAGTACAGCTGCATTGCCTGTGACATATCCAAAGCCGATTGGCTCTGCTGAGCAGGTGGGAGGAGTCTGCCTTCGTCATCTTCTCCTTTGTGAAATCGCAGGGGTCGTAGCCCTCACCTCAGATATGAAAAAAACACCACTGGTGATTGCAAAAATTGGTTGGGCCTTAAAACTATGGAAGGTTTTACCTTGTTTTATCTTGTTCCATTATTCCTCATGTTATTAGTTATTATGAACTTTTTAGTGTTTTAAAACATTTTCTAAATGGTTTTCAAACTTCTGTTTCATGTGGGTAGTTCAGGGAAAAAATAACATTGTAGGTTTAAACATTGACATTTGGAAAGAGACCACAATGTGCAGAACATATGTAAAGGACAGTCATATATTTTTTCACAAACCATTTAAAATATCTTAAGTTGATCTGTCTATTAAGTTAAAAAACAGGTTACTATTGCAGTTGGGTAAAATGTTGATCCACCATTTGCAGCTGATCTACACACACCAGTCACTGCCTTCTGAGTTGAAATCAACAGTTTTTAATATCTGTTGAGTTCTGGAGAACCTTGGGGATATGGCTTGCTCTGCAAGACTTCTTTTTTTTCCCCAAAATACAACCACATGTATTGCTCCTTTTTTCCAGAGCATCTCCCGATGCTTTATTCTGTTAAAAAAATATTTTTGTTTCACGCTTTAAAAATAATTTGTATAGGTTTTTTCTTCTGGTGCTCTTACTATGCCCAAGTATTGTGAGACGTTTATTGATGTCACAGCATTTTCAAAGCTTGTGATGACATAATTTGAAAAGAAAATATGCAAGTTATTTCACTGTAAATACAGTGTGTGCTTAGTGAATTTCACCACCTTTCTCTTGAATGCCCGCAGTGAATAAACACTGTTGGAGTTCTAACAGCTTAGAATTGTCTTCAAAAAGTTGTCATGACTGTAGACCTGGAGAAAATGTGCTCTGGCCAGCTATGACTAATGTATAAAGTATAATGTATAACTTTGGAGCTTCTTCTGAGTGACAAATTGCTTCTGTATGGTATGGGATATCAGCAGAACATTCATCAGTTTCAGTAAAATCTAACAGTGAAAATAGATATGTGCAACCTTGAAGGCTTTCCAGAAATTTATCTTGCTTTGGTTTCAGTATTCATGAACTCCATACCCTGTTTTTTTTCCCCATAACATATTGCAAATTCTTCTTTCCAGGTGATGCATTGTGCTTGTGTTGTTCCATTCTGAGAGGAGTAAAATGTTGGACTGGATATTAAAAACCTCATTAACAAAGGACACAAGAAAGGGTCAGAGCCAAAGATAAAGGGCATACTATAAAATTCCATATTCACCAACCGCTGAAAGACATGCCTTAAAGCTGATGAAAATGATTAAAACAAATGTCTTAAAAATAAGACTCTGTTCACTAACATCCTCTAAATATTCACAATTCAACCACTGTATACAAATGGTGTAGAAAGATCGCACTAATGAGGGTAATGATATGCACATGAGATTCATTAAACCTTCTCAGCCTTGAGGCTCCGTAGAATAAAACTTTGGGTATGAGAAAGAATTGTATGTTCTCCATGCTTAGATTATGTCAATTCAAATCAAATTAACATTTTTAAAAGTAAAAATTTAATTTGAACATTTTTGTACTGAAGGTACAGAGACTATGAAGCTTACAAACATAATATAAATGAGCAGGATAAGCACAATGATGAAGAATAAAGTATCTGGGTCAAGGTTAATGCACTCTGGGCTATAAATTGTTTTCTGGCAAAGCCACCCATTGCATTCCACTGCAGAAATTTCTAAGTCATTATACCAATTTCCATCCACATCTAAAGTTCAGTGTTAATATATAATCCACCACAATTCATTTTCTGAACATAAGACTCTACTTGCCACCAGAGACTGAAAACATCAGTATAATACACTCCCATACTACCCAGACATACTAAAAACTCTCCTCTATTCTGAAAACAATGCCAATCTCAAGGTTCCACTGGATTTTTCTTTACACAGCAACATGACTAACCTCCAATAATTAACCCATAATATGCAGCTTTTTTTATTTACTGAGGATATTCTCCACAATGCTTTTGTCACGGTCGTCATCCCTCCTCTAGACGGTGCTCTGACCTTTTATTATTTGTTTAATTATTACGTGCACCTGTCTTCTGTTTAACCCATCACTATATAAGTCACGTGCCTCCTAAACTCTTGGCCCAGCATTGGAAGACAGATGCCTGGAACCCCGCCTACCAGCGGGTTCAGGACAGACCCGATGGCATGGGTTTCATCACGGCGTCCTGACCATCTGAGTCCGGGGCTCAGAGCGTCTGGTCTCGTCATCCTGTTTTAACTTCCCTGTTCCTGTTCTGGTTCCGTCCCAGTTCCTGTTTTTAACTGTTTGTCTTGGATTGATCCCCCGGCTACCTGGACTTTGGATTGCACCCCGTTTTTCCCTTTTGGACTCTTACTGGACTTGTTCGCCTGTGCTCCCCCTTGCACCCGGATCACCGTCGGCACCGCCCCCTGTCTGTCCTTCCGTCCATTCACCTACTTTTTTTCCCCGTAGCCCTTCTCCAGTCTCTTCCACATTATACCGTCTGCATATGGTCCTAAATATGCACTATACCAGAGTCAGGACTGATAGTGTGTTTATCAAGACCAAGAATGCCCCTCAACATAACCCCACACTCAGAATTCCCACACTCAGAGCCATGATAGGCTCTGGCTTTCCTGTATTGGATAAAGCACTTAGAACATAGTGGATAGCTGGTGCTGGAAAAAAAATGTCTCTAAATGTATATGGGTAAAACGCCAACAAAACCTTAATTATTATTACCACATTTGTATGAATTAGTATGAATAGGCCACTAGATCCTGATGGCAGAAATAACTCTGTCCAGTGAACATAACTTCATGGAACAGGTCCAGAAGTGGTGGTGTCCTTGACTGGGCAGTCACCATGATGAATGGCTGCCCATATCTCCATGTCATTGAATGCTGGTCCTTGACTAGAGTATGAGACAGAGAAGAGATCCAATAATCTTTTCACTCTGTTAGAAGTTCTGTCTTTGTTGTCTGTATTTTTTTTCTAATAGTGGATAGTGTGTGCTCACATACAGTACAGTTTGGCTGCTTTATCAGTACCTTGAAAGTGATGTGAAGATCTTGCTCATAAGGACTGTCTGGAAATCTATGTGTCAACCACATCCAAGGAAACATCCAGGGCCTCAGATGCATCCTTGTACAAGAGAAGAATTTGTTGCCTTTAAGCTGTCAAGCTGTCAATTCTGTGTTTATTGTGTTTATTGTTGGAGGGGGTGATTGCATGCCTTATTAAGTGGGTTTTTCTAATTGAATTTGATTTCGTTCTTTTTTTACTTCATGGTCCTAAATAACTGAAAACAATACCAACAATGTTATTTTATGAGTGCATTCATACATCTTTTGGTAGCTCACCTCATCCCATATTTTCATCACATTTAATGGCATTTTGAAATATGTGTTGTTTTGCACCTTAACATTTGTAAAACGATGCATAAAAAACTTAATTTATAGGTAGAGACATAAAATCCAAATAACAAGCCTTGAGAAAATTGGCTTAGGAGAAGGGTAAAAAATTTCCAGTTCTTAAACACAATGTTTAGTGAAGAAAGCTACTGTAGCATGAAGCACAATATAAGATTATTTTGAGATTAGGCTGTTATAATGGATAGCATATGGAACTGCACACACACACTGGCAGTACTCTCGATGAGCCTGTAAGATACTCTTTCTCTATCTCTATCAGGTTGAGCTGCTAGAGAACCCTCTGTGCAGACTCCTCTACAGCTATACAATGTTTTTCCAGACCTGCTGCTTTTGTCCATCTCTGAATCATTGTTAATGGACAGACTGAAGAAAGGAAATGTGCACAACTTTTCATGATATTGCACTATCCAGATACTTTTCAAATCTCTTAAATCTGTGAAATAAAAACAAGATTTTGTAATGAGGTAGCCACTTAATCAAATGTGGTTTCTCTTTAGTACATTTGTTTGTCTAACATTGCCCTCTTGTGCTTAGAAAAATATTTACAGTCATCATTTGTAGACAGAAGGATTTTATATTATTATTGTAACATATCCTGAGATGCACTCATGGTAAAACGACAATGTTTTCAGATCACTTTTATTACAACGACCAGGATAATCCTGCCTGTCAGTGAAGTAAGTGATACAAATACCATAACCCTGTTGAGTCTTAATTACACATCTTCAATTAGACATCTGAAAAAAATTTAAGCTTGTGGCAGCTTCTACATATCGTAATATTAAAAATTTTATAAGCTGGAGCTGAGTCACTAATATCATAGTCTGTGTTGTTTCACAAAATTCCAAGTTGAAACTGAGTCCTGATCACCAAAGTCATTTTCCAAGCAAATTGATTCAAGTCCAGGTCATTGCAATTTCAAGTTAAATCTGAATTTGAAATCTGTGTTAGAATTCTGGAGCCAACATTCAGTTCCCTTCTGAATTTTGTTGCTACAGTATTTGCAAATCGTTGAAATAACGCTTCTTTAACTGACCAAAGAATTCAGAATCACTGGCTGACTGGACAAGGTTATGAGGTGGGTATTCTAGGACCTCTATCAATATTGCAATGAAAACTCATAGGTCCTGCAGGCAATGTTTAGTCTGGCAATATACGTAACACAGCAACATAGCACCCTAAGGCAGTGAGCCAGGCCATTTTTGAAAGAAGGCTTTCTGCAATCTGTGCACTGTGAGAAGCACTCAGCATTTGACCACATTTGCACAAGTCCATCATTCTTTAAGCTGACACTTGACAATATCACAAATAGAAGGGATTCTCTTTTGGGCTCCAATGAAGCAGATTATTGTGCAAAAATGCTCTATTTATTTGCATCCATAGGCTGAAATGAATTCTAACTATGACAGAATGTGTTGATTTGTTAATGTTAAAGTTGTAAATATTGTTACATGTACGGTGACTACTAAAGTGCCTTGAAGAATCTAGATACAATGGATGGCACCTGGCTTTTTTTAGCACTTCCAGGTCTTGAGAGCTTCAAAGCAAGGACATGTTTGCTGAGATTAACTGGTGTGAGATTCAGTGACCAAAGCAACTGTAAAGCTTACTTTAGTTAATTAAGTTCTTGATAAATGATTAAGGGTATCATCAACTGCCTAGGAACACTGCATAAAACAGACAGGTACAGAGCCTAAAAAAGAGACAGCAAGAGACAGAAAAACAGAAGGCAAGAGCTCCTTGTCAAGATCATCCAGAAATACCATGTCGGAGTTAAGTATTTGTAAGTAATCTTGTTTAAAGCAATGCCCATTCTGTTGTTCTGTTTTTCTATGTAAAGAATCCCTGGGTTAAAAAAGGCCTCCTCTGGTTTATTGAATGCATTTTTGGAATAGGGAGATAGATAAGATAAGATCACTTTATTGGCCATATACAATTTCTTGCATTAGGAATTTGTCTTTTCACATACCCCAGCTTGCTCTCCATGAGACACGCAGGCACACAGACAGGGAGAGAGAAGCTTGGGGTCAGAGCGCAGGGTCAGCCATTTATATGGCACCCCTGGAGCAGCTGGAATTTAGGGCCTTGCTCAGGGGCTCAATGGAGTAGGATTCCTTTGCCAGCCACAGGATTTCAACTGGCAACCTTCCAGCCATAGGCACAGATCCTTAGCCACAGAGCCACCGCTCCGCCCGGTTCCCATTCATGTTGTGAACGGGTTTACAGAGAGAGCGAATTAACTTTAGGTCATGTTCTGTTGTTTTAGAAGGCAGGTTAATCTCTCTTATTGACCTGTATAGGTGTTATAGACCATTTGAATACTTAGTAGCAGTTTTTCTGGTAGGTCAGGACATACAATAAGCCTCTGGAATTCATTGTTTTATAAATTTTTAAATAGTGTAACTTACTGTATATGTTGAATGTTTGTTGTGTGTTGTTTAATGTCTATATTGCTATTACTCATAAATATTTGTTTAACCCAGTGTGCCTGAATTATTACTCTTTTTTACCAAAGCAGAATATACAGTAAATAAATATAATTGTTTTCTTCAGTATGTTACTTGTAAAATGAATTACATTAAACAAATAATAAGTACAAAGGAAAGTAGGTGCCTCGCAGTGCTGGGGCCTTACGTTCAATTCTATAACTAGGGTGCTATCTGGGGTACTAGTGTGGAGTTTGTATGTTGTCCCCATGTTCACCTGTGTATCCTCCAGGCACTCTAGCTTCTTCCCACAGTCCTAAAATATACTGGTAGGTTAATTGGTTTCTGGGAAAACTGGCCTTGGTGTGCATGTCTGTGTTTGTGTGTCTGCCCTGCGATGGCCTGAGGTCGAGTCCACGGTGTGCCCTGCTTTGTGACCGTAGCTTACTGAAACTTTGTTCTATTTTTATTTCATGGGCCTACATACAGTAACTGAAAACAATACCAACAATTTACTTTTATGAGTGCATTCATACATCTTTTGGTAGCTCACCTAATCCCATATTTTCATCACGTTACTTAATGGTGTTTTGAAAAATGTGTTGTTTTGCACCTTAACATTTGTAAAATGATGCTTCAAAAACTTAATTTATAGTTAGAGACACAAAATCCAAATAGCAAGCCTTGAGAAAAGTGGCTTAGGAGAAGGGTAACACATTTCCAGTTTTTAAACACAATGTTTAGTGAAGACAGCTAGCATGAAGCACAATATAAGATTATTATTAGCTTGCTGAGATAGACTTAATAGAAGTGGTTAGAAAATTGATGATCATTAATATGATACAACCATATTAAGTACAACTACACTGTATTCAATTTGATTTTTTTTTTAGAAAGAGGCTATGACTGAAAAAAAGACAATTAAAGTGATTTAAACTTTTCTTATTAGTTGATCTCAGTACTATAGATGTATTCTTATTTTCTGACACAGTGTCAGGATCATTACTTAATAATTAAATTGCTTTTGAAAATTGGAAAACTGGACTCGTACTGTATACTCAGCCAAAAAGGTTTTCATTTTATGTTCTGTTACCAGGAAACCAACACAATTTTAACAGGTTCCTTGTTGTTATAAGTAATATGCGGCATGGTAAAATGAGTTTAAGGAGATGAACAAAGTAGCTCATAACCTTATAAAGCAGCATTTTTCAATTATACCTTTTCCACTTGAGACCTTCTGATTAAACTTGACTTCCATTTTATCATGAAAGATACATTTACTATAGTTGGAAAATATTACAGAAGAATACATTCGGCCAGGTTTAACTTTGTCCAGCATTACTGCACAATTTCAAAAGAGTTGTATGTTTTTTTTCAGTGGTTAAAATAGCCATCGGTAAGACAGAGAATCTAGATTTGAACTTCAGATGACAGATACAGTATTGTTTCTTGTCATTTCTACTAGCATGATTTGAACAAAATCATGGAACTCTCCAGTAGGGAGAGACTCTTACAGTTCACAATATTTGCAGAAATCCTTAATTTTTGAAGAGTTCTGTAACTCCAATACTTGTTCACCACTTTCCAGTCAACAGTCTCACTTGAACGTTTTTAATTCCATGCATTAAGATGGTGCTCTTTTATCGCCAAGAACATTCTGCGTGATATACTGTACTGTATGTGCAAATATCAAGTTTATGATTTGATCTTCTCCATACCCTGACATTCTCCATGTCCTGACATGATCGATTCATTTTTACATCTTCCCAGCCTTGTGCTTTATAACATGAGATTTGCTGGGGGCTTTGACTTGCTTTTTACATTGTACTCTCATTACTTTTAGAAAACTGGCTTACATCTCCCTGTCATGCTGGAACTATCTTTATTTGTTCTTCCTTATTCATACCGATTGACCAAAATAGTACAAAAATGTGAGTTTGACAGGTATAAGTTCTACACACACAGGAAGACACTGACTGATGTTCTAAATGAAAGTGGCATCTTTAAGGAAGGAATCACCAAGTGGGAGAAAAATTAGATAAAGTTAAAAAACTTAAAATCTGAAAATGTAGAACGGAATGTAAACTGATAAGATTCTCCTTTTCATAAAATGGCTAAACAGCAAGTTAGAATAGCAGAATGGTCTTCTCTCTTTAACTTTCTTATGTTCATATTGCAATATTTGAATGTCATGTGTGTAATCATAAGAACTGTATCTGTGAGGTATGAGACTGTCTTGTTGTTCAAAAATAATTTGTCTCATATAACAATGGTACTTAAGCAAGCACTATAATTTATAACATGTCATATTTTCCTACTCAGGCCAAAACTGTTGGGCCTCTGCTCCAAACAAGTTCACCTACAGTACCAAGGCACCAACACACACTGTTCTGTGTGCTCAAACATGTGGACACCGCACAGCAGAGAAGCACACATACAGTACACACAGCCTGAAATGAATTTAATCCCTGGTATGACAGAACTAGAGGCCATGGTTATGAGTTCACAATTCAGACTCCTGACATTATATACTGTAACATGCGTGTGAAGCACCATCAAACATGTACAGTACAACAAAGCAGACAAACACAATACAATCTGTTACCTTGCCTTTGTGCATCATGCAGTCTGTGAGTTCTGCAGAAGAGCACTGGTGCTCTTTCTTATAGTTGTTCTTGATTACTGATATAGAGTTAGATCTTGTAAATTAAAAAAAAACAAAGCATACAACCAAATTAAATTATTCATGATAACTGAATTTTTAAATATTCAGATTATGATCAATTAACACGTAACACTCCAAATTTTCAAATGAATATTTATTATTATGAACATTATTGATGCTCATGGCTCTTTCCAAAGTAATACATGCAGAGATTATTTTTTAATGTAATATGGAATTCACACTTAAAAACTTATCTTCAGTGCGAAACAGTACAACACGAAAATCAATATGCAAATAATGTTTACATGCGCCACCTATGGATTATATAATTATGCCCCCGGAAGCAGGGTAGTATAGGAATTTCCGGTGACGTCAGTATGTCTGGACTCCATTAGGGGCTGCAGCTGTTTTGAGAGAAACAACAACAAAAAACGGAGAGACAGCCGAGAGAAACAGAGCGTTTTTGGCCGGGTTAAGAGCTCTGAATCCCGGGAACTGACACCTCCTTTCCCATCCCCGGGCCCACCGGCTTCTAACCACGGCCGCTCTCGGCGAGGAAACTCTGGCCTCCGCTTCCTCCTCCTCCGACTCGGACACCGGCGGAGCGTCGCCGCCCCCGCGGAAGAAACACCGAGCCTCGGCGGCGGAGGGAGCAGGAGAGCCCGGGGCTTCGACAGGGACAGCGGGCCTCTCTGCGGTGGTGTTAGGACTTGCAACTTCTCCACATCCTTCTGCTACGCCTGCCATCCACATTAACAGAAACCTCGTTAACAGTAACATTAATAACATGCAGTCCAACGGGGCAGGACAGGGACAAGACCAGGAGCTTTCCTGCCTTACTACCGCACAAAACGGAGAGTCCTCTTCCGCCGGGGGTGCACATTCGAACGGACTGATATCTAGTAGTAACAACGGGAATAATGTCAGTAATAATGGGGCTTCTTCGGGGGTACCTTCTGGGGCCCCAGCCACCTCTAGCGCTGCTGCCTCTGGCTCGGAGGTTGGGGCTACCATGAAGAAAAAGAAAAGGCTCTCGCAGTCTGAGGAAGATGTCATCAGGCTCATAGGGCAACATCTCCATGGGTTAGGCCTTAAGTAAGTAAATTTATTCCAAAACTCCCATTGTACGAAATAATAAAGAATCTAGGAGAAAAATCGACGCAAGAGACACAAACATGTTGGGGGAGGGGGGGGTTCCATCTTGCACAATGCAGCACCAATATCTTGTGGCCGTTTTGGAAATGGCACTCAAAATCTCTGAAGAGAATGAAGTGTGTACCCAAGAAAGGTATTTGTTCCTGAATGGCTGTGAAAAGTCGCATTACATCACCTGCTTCATGTCGAAAGATGCACAAGAGACCTTTCGTACAAAGGATAAAGTCATTAACCAAGCCGCAATAACGAGACTGCTTCTTAATCTGAAAATAAGAATGTTGTTTTGAAGGGGATTCGAGCTTTGCAGTGAAATGAGCAGTAACTGCTGCTTACATTGTCGTTTTTTTGTGTAGAGGTACTTTTGCGTTAGATCGTTGTGTCCCAATAATTAAGGAAGTGAAGTTAAACGTCGAAACAGGTTTTGCGGGCAGCTGGAGAAAAAGGCTTTGTCTGCAGGGTCTGTTTGCCTCAGCAATGCTCTGTGGAGGTGTCATAACATAAACTCGAGTTCCCCGGCTTAAGATGTAACGTATTATGTTTTCAAAAATAAAAATGATGGTGCATTTGCATAAGTGGGTGCTTGCTGCTACGGTCAGAATATAATTCAGTAGATTTTTCTGTGACAGGGTGGCCTGGGAGCAGACATCATAAGCAGAAATAAACAATTAGCCAGGAAGCTGTCACAATTGTATTTGTTCTATGTTGTGGCAAGTTTCAGAATGTAGGAAGAGTAGGAGTACTGCTCTGTGGTCTTATGATAACCCTTGAATGTATTTTATAACAGCTGTTTAAGCTTCCAGATGTTGGGAAATCTCAATATAACCTGCTCCCTTTGTTTGTTTACAATGTCAATAGCATATTAAGCATTTCACACTCTCTCATGCTAAGTACCGTTTAACATTGTATGAACGTGATCTGTGACCTTGCTTAGAAACCAGGCATTATAGGATTAAACTGCATACATACTGCATTAAATGCAGTACTTCAGGATAATATTGACAACAGTCCAAATTGTAGAACAAATCCAATGTTTGTTTTATCTTGATTATGGCAATTATGGATTATGACACTATTAATCCAAGTAGTGTCTGGAATTCAAATGTGTTAATATTTATTTTATTTATCTTAAGTTCAAATGGTTGATGTTATATTCTAATTTATATTAAAAATAAAATATACTTAAATAAATACTTAAAGCTTTTTTCAATGTGTTTATTAAGATTACTGATATGTTTTACCATGGCTGTATAACCAGTGCTCTTTTGAGTGTTAAGAGTGCTGTTTAAATTAGTAGTGGCGCTACAAGGTCTGTATTTGAAGTAGATATTGAAGTCAGACATGGCTCTTAAAAAAAAAAAAAATATAGGTTTGATGGCATTTCACTCACAGGAAAAGGAAACGGTAACTGACTGGTGGAAAATGGAAGTGTTTCTAACTTGTGGAAATCTTTGGGAAATAAAACACTTCATTTTTTTTTCTTTTGATTTCTGAATAAAACAATTGTTTTCCACAGCCAAACAGTTGATCTCTTAATGCAAGAGTCTGGATGCCGTTTGGAGCACCCTGCTGCCACCAAATTCCGCAACCACGTTATGGAAGGGGAGTGGGACAAGGTGATATGTGTTTTAGGATTGATTCTTTTGATTGAATTGTCTTTGCAATGTAGGCAGCATTATCCGTAATTAGGGCAATGGAATGTATGGTAACTAAAGAATCTCTGTGGCAAAAGGCAGCTAGGCCAGTTTTTTTTAAAAAGGATGCCACCATAAAGGCAGATTCTGAGCAGTATCTTGATACTGATACATTTTCTTCATTAATTCCAATTAAAACTCAAAACTGCACTGTAGCATTGCAGGTTTACATGATTCCATGGTGATGTCAGACATAACAACTAGTTCTTTATAACTGCTGTAGTGGAAAGTCTGTTTTACTACTCTATGGGTCATGTCCCCAGTCCTATATACAGTATTCTGTATATTCAGCACTGCATATAGCAAGTGTAAATATTTGTTCTTTATTCTTCCATTTGTTTTGATTATGGATTTTTTTTAGAAAAGCACTACTTCAGAATGAAAATGCTGAACTAACCATTTTTATTTCTTTTGTTCCACAGGCTGAAAATGACCTCAATGAACTGAAGGCATTGATGCATTCTCCTAATGCTATTGTGGTAAGGCAAAAACCAGCTAACGTTTTGAGTGAAAGCAATGTGAAATTCAGGAGTGTTCTGGACTGTACTTTTCTCTTTAGAGCTGGAATGTTTTTTTAAAGGTGTTATTACTAAATAGTTTCAGTACCTGGTATTAAAGGAGGTTGTATAAATATAAAAAATGTGAATTTAGTAATTTCATTATAAAGGATGGATATGTTTGCATATCAAGGTCATATTACCACCTTTAAGTATTTACAAAATGCTAGGCCTAAACAAAATTGAGATCTCAATGAAGTTCTGCTCACAACACTGTCCAGACATTCCTCCAGGCTATTCAGAAAGTCTGGTTGGACACAAAGCCTCTGGACTGTGGGGGAAATTTTGGATTCCATTGCTAGGTTTCCTGTGTATCCTTTCGGCCTGATGCACTGGAACAGGGGCAGCTGCATTCAGTTATGGGGCCAACCAAAAGTTAAGAGGTGGCTGTTAGACTGCCCACAGTGACAAATGGTCTTGAACTGTGCTACCAAATAATTCCTTACACTAAGGGGGGAGGAGGTGATTGCCTGTTCTCCTTAGGACTCCTCCTGTACTAGCACTGCACCACATTCCTGGGATCCTTAGCCACATCAGGTCTCGTGCAACTTTCAACCCTTCCCCAGAGTGGCGATCAGGTGACTCTTCGTCCTGGCTTAAAGCTTGTGTTGTCTAGAGCAGCAAAATACATACTCTTGGTCATGCATAGGATGTGAAAGGTGGACCACTCTTGACAGGTCAGCTTTGATTTTAAGAGTTCAGGTGGGTAGCTGCATCAGCATGCTTAGGCTGCAAAGGAATAAGTAGTAGGTTTATTCCATGCTGAAAAAAAGAAGAAAGAAAACACAGCGTTTCGTCCGTGGAGTCTTATTCAGGTGTGAGGGTTTGATTGTCTGGCTGCCTGTTTGCTTGGGGCAGCCCTCCCTTTGTACAGCCACCCTGCCCCTGTTTCCTGTCAGCCCTTTCCACCATGAGCAGTCACACTGTAGGTGCCCTTGCATCCTGCAATCTGGGATTCCACCCCCCAGCTGACTTCTTTCTCATCACCCCCTTGGTTTAGGTCCATCTTGTACCATGCTTTAACACTTAATAAGATAATACCACCTATTTGTGCTCTGCTTTCTCAATGACTGGTTCTAAATTAGACAGGCCTGAAAGTAGTAGCTGCTGGCATAAAGCTATTGGCATCAGTGTCTGCATGGATGTGAATTATTCCTTCACTCCTCCCACGGGAGGGATGGTGTTGAGCAACCAAGCAGTAGATGTCCAAGCTGAAAGACCTTACTGCCTCAGAGGTTAGATGCTTCCTACTGTCCAGTTAATGGCTATATCGTAGGTAGGTCCACATGTTACCAGTGCTAAGGCTGTTTATTGCTGGTTGTATGAGCAGCTCCCCTGAAACCACTGGTACAGTCCCTTTCAGCAATCACTGTAGACACTTTACTCACCTCTTCTGGCCAGTTTTAATTAATAACTTTTATTACATTTAATTATAGTTACATGTAATATTTAGGTGGTGGGGTCTAAACAAATCTGAGACCTCTAAAAACAGTTTTGCTCTGAAAAGTGCCCTATGGAGCTAGAGTGTGTGATTTCTTTCTCCACTGGGTTATTCAGGGCCTACTGTGGGAGGCAGAGTCTTTGGGCTGCAAGGAAAATACTAGTTCCAGTGCTGGGTTTCCTTTCCACCATTTTGATTTAAAAATAAATGATACCCCCTTTATTCATTACACATGGGCTATGATTATTTTAATGGGCAAAGTATACTCTATATGTGAAGTGTACAGCATTGTTCTGCTTACAGTTCTGTATATCAAGGTTAGTCTATGTGCATCACTTGCCATTTTTCAGTTGTGCACAGGGTAACCATTTTAAACTTTACATGCTTTAGACTTCCATTTTGTGTCTCTCTTGTTAATCTGTATAATTCAAATTGAAAATAATTTTATGAAACTGAATGAAAGTTTAAGAATTAAAATAACCATTTGATACAACACAGTATGTTACTTTGTGGAAGTGTTTATTTAAAGCTTGATAGAAGGAAATACATCACAAGTTGTGAATAAAAGTGTAAAATAGAATAATTTGGCTAGTTGAAACATTTGAGAGCAATCATGTAAAATCTGACCTTTACAACCCCCTTACTGTTTCTTGTCCTTTTTTTTCAGCCTATAAGTGCAATTAATTAGACTTATTTGTTGTCATATTCACCTAACATCTGCATTTTTCTCACACCTTTATAGTTCTTTTGTACCTTTGGAAGGAGATCCATGTGCCTTTCCACCTAACGCCAGTCTGCTTTCCTGAATCGTTCTTAGGCCTTCTGAAAATTAGTATTTTGGAACATTTTTTTTCCTTTTTAAAATTGATGTGAGGAGGTTACCTCAGTGGCCATTTGGGGTTGTCTGGGTGACCTGTTCATGAGTATGAAAATTATATTAATTACCTGCAGGGAGAAGCAGACTATATACAGTATGTCTCAATTTCAAAATAATTCAAATCTAGATTGAATGTGGTAGTTAAAATTTTTTAAAATAGTCATACTATTAATGATAACTATCTTGTAATGCATAGTGGAGCTCCTTGGCTTTGAAATGGTGAGCTTCATTGAATTTGGTATTTTCATTTAACATTTTTCTGCTTTGACAAGATTTTGACTTGCTTAAGTTTATACTTATATGAATTAATGTGAAACAGCTGGTTTCTATAAAAAAGACCCTAAGAGTTGTTATATAATATGAGAGGCTTATGAGGGAAGGACATTTGGACAGTCTAATGGTAGTATATTATTAATTCAGGGATCTCATCCAGCTGTTTCTTGAAGGGATCCAAGGTATAATTGGCTTCGACAACATGGATGGGTAGTTTGCTCGTTTTTCTCTAAACTTTATGTAAATAAGTGCCTCCCATTCACAAAAATGCACTTCCACAGTGGTTTCCACTTGTCTTCTGCTCATGTTTTACTGTTTAATCTGAAGACGTCAACAGATAACATTGTCATTGCCTTTGAGGTTTTCGAATAATGGGATCAAGTCCCCTTATAGTCTTCTCTTTTCAGGGCTAAAAAGGTTAAGTTCTTTCTGCCTCTTGATATAGGATGTTCCTTTAAGTTCTGAAAAGCTTCTGGCTGCTACTTTCTATAGTTTGTTGACCAAATGTGTATTGTAAATATGGATGTGAATAAATGTGATCTGGAATTTAAATACAAAAACTATGGCTTTGTGCAGTATTTTTATGATTAATATATGAAATTATAACAATTTAAGTGAGACTTACCCAATCTATGACTTTTTGCTATTTTTGTTTCCCATTTCCATTGGGGTCTGAATAAACTTGGAGGGCACTGTTTGTTACTACCTGCATGCAGTAGTACTTGCATGCACGGTGCTTGTCTGTTAAATTGTTTGCTGTCAGGTGTTTGCCCAGTCATGAGTTTTATCTTAATCTTTTTTAAAAAAATCTTCTTTTTATGGTAGAGTTAATATTGCTTTCTGATCTAATATGTATACCTGACTACTCTGTCTATACCAGATCAGGTTTTAGGTCATTGCAAATTGTAGTAATGATTGCAGAGATTATACACTAATTACTTCAAACCAATTTGAGCCTTCCCTCCTATTAGTGAAACTCTATTGAACAATTAGATATATCCCTGATTTATACCATCTTTCATTCAATCACAATTTTGAGATAAAAAAAGTCATTACAATCTTTGCAGTGGTAATTGGTGTGGCTTACTGATTTACAGTGATGCAAATCATTTTTCTTTCTGTGGAATACGTAACTCTATTCTGTCCAGACAATAATGTACTTTTCACTGGAAGTGGGTTATCATGTTTGTCTTCCAGTAATAAATTCATAATTGAGGTGCATAGTGTGATTTGTTGTTCTTAGTCTGGCTTTTAAAGACTAGGTTAGATTTATGAACAACTGTAGTTGCTAGTAATCCCTCTATTTAAATTGTGAAAATCCAGATATCTATAAAGCATAAATATAGATTAAATACATTAGTGTTGATTGGGGGAGTGTGATTGTTAGAATTCCCATACGCGAATACAAATTTTGGGGCATGAATGCTTTGAATAATTTGTCCATTGGCAGAATCCATTAAGTTCTTTTAAAAAATACTGTTGTAAGACGCTTCAAATCCAAATAATTTGAAGCTGTCAAGAGGAGATATTCATCTATGGGATTTTCCCATATTCCATTACATGAATGCTGTTAAACACAGCCTTTATTTGCAAGAAAAACTGAAGGATACCTACCTATCACCTCAAATCCAAAAGTTAATTTTTTTATTTTACCCATTTTGTGTGTTTTAAAGCAAAGTTTACTAGAAGACCGTGGAAAGGGATATACCAAAGGTACATTAAAATTACATAATGGCATGGTTGTCTTTTCTGTATGTTCAAGTAGCTGCATCAGCATGTGTAGGCTACAAAGGAACAAGTAAAGGTTTATTCCATGCTGAAAAGAGAAGAAAAGAAACTCATCGTTTCACCTGTTGAGCCTTCTTCGGGTGACACTGAAAAAATTCTCAACATTTACTAAAAGTGGTTTTCATTGAATGAGAATGAAGAAGAATTTACATAATATGGTATAAGACTTCTACTGATGGAAGATTATTCTCTTTCTACATACTTTAATCATTTTATGCACAGTTTGATCTACACCTCACTCTGTATTGCCAGTGAAAAATAAAGCCATGGTTAAATTATAAGCTAAAGTAGATAAAGTATTACTTTGTACTTGAAAGAAATTGATAGATTTAAATACGTTTAAGTTATTTAACTGGTCATTGTTGTTGATTTAAGTGTTCTTTTTGTTTTAAGGAATGACTGATAATGCAACCTTCTGGTGAAAGTACATTTTATTAATCTTTGTAGGGTGTTTCCAAGACAACCCAAGATAAGCATAAGATTTTTAAAAGAGAATCCTAAAATATGTTTCTTAGAAAAATGTGAATTGAGAACATGCAGGTA